TGCAGATTATTTCAAAAATATTGGAAGGACAAGAAGTGACAAAAGAAGGATTGCCAGAAGATTTGAATACAGATGATATCACTTTTTTCAAACATGCGCCAATCACTTCTGTGGAAGTTGAAAGAAGTTTTTCAACATACAAAACTTTACTATCGGACAATCGCCGATCATTTTTATTTGAAACTATTAAACACACTTTAATCGTTCAGTGTAACACATTTATTGTTTAAAAGTATAAATATAAATAAAATTTAAATTGTTTAATTACTAAAAGCATATTTAATGTATAAAAATAAAATTTATAATAATTATAAATTTATAAGAACCATTATGTTACATTATAATTTTGAAAAACGAATTTTTTTTAATATTTATATAATAATTTTTAATTTTTAAATAATAATAATAATGATTATTATTTTTTAAAGAAATTTTTGGTATTTTTTTGGTCATTTTTTTAAGTCATTTTTTGATGTTTATAAGTCATATTAACATTTTTTTTAGTGCATTTTTTAAAGATTTTTAGGTCATCAAGTTCCGGGCCCTAGTTATTACATACCATTATTATTTTTTTTATTGAATAATAAACAAACAGAATCGTATTCTTCGTGTTTTTTGGCATTAAAAAATGAATGTACAAAATTTAATTTATGTTTTAACCCTGAAATTATGTACGCAGATTTTGAAAAATCTATACATATGGGTGCAAGAAATGTTTGGCCAGATATTATTACAAAAGGTTGTCGGTTTCATCTGGGACAGGCATGGTGGCGAAAAGTACAGAATCTTGGTTTAAGTATTCATTATTGTGATGATGTATCAGAAATAGGACAGTTTTTAAAGAATATATTTGGATTACCCATGCTGAATGAACACGATATTGAAATAAGTTTTACTGAAGATTTTATGTCTATCAAGCCTGATGATGAAAAACTAAATCAGTTTATGGATTATCTCGTAGAAAACTATATTGATCCACAGTCAGATTTCCCTCCTCACACATGGGCAGAAATGAGCAGTAGCAGTGAACGGACAACAAATGCGTGTGAAAGCTTTCATTCTAAATTTAATTCATGCTTTTACACCCCACATCCGGACATATATTCCTTCTTAGAAATATTAAAAAAAATTCAAATAGACACAAACATTTTAATACAAACTTCTAATCAAATACCTAAAAAAAAATAGATCAGTCAACGAAAAAAATATTTAATTCATTGAAGAAAATATACAAAAATACAAAACTTCTAAAATCTCTAGATATGGTTATGTGAAAATCATGGCATTAAAAAGTCAACCAAAAAAATAGTTTAAATATTAACCCAGCATTTTAAAATTGTATGTAAGCCTAAATAATTTAATACATTTATATAATAATAAACTTTTAATTTTATAATAATAATATAATATAATAATTAAATAACCAAATAACCAAATATTTTTGGGGTGTAAGCCAGTTCACCTCCTCGTGGTATACCCTGGGTAACTCTAAATGAACTGGGACGCATTCGGGCTATGTGAAAAATATGACCTTTTTTCTTGGGACGCACTCGGATGATACCTTATTCTGGACGCACTAGGATCATTAAAAAAGGTTCATTTCGGGACGCACTCGGGCGACGCCCGTTTGAAATGTACGTAGATTGCGGCCCAGGTATATTTGAAATGTACGTAAATTGCGGCCCGGGATATTCCTATTTCCGGTCGGCTGGTTATATTATCTTTAAAAGGATGTCACAGTAGAAAAATATGGCATAAAAACATGGTTTCATACTTCCAGGAATACGGCTTATTGAAGCGTTTTACGGTATAAATACCTATTACAAAAATTGTAGAGGAGAATTTTTTCTAGAAACGTAAGAAGTCCGATTTTCGATATTTTTATTAATTAGTTAAATAATTAATTGATAAAAAGTTTAAAAAAAACGTGTTTATTTACCATGCGATATTGGACGATTGGAACAAGATATCAAAAATCGGGCTTTTTACCTTTCTAGAAAAAATTCTCCTCTACAATTTTTGTAATAGGTATTTATACTGTAAAACGCTTCAATAAGCCGTATTCCTGGAAGTACGAAACCATGTTTTCGGTAAAAAAAAACGTTATTTTAATTACGCTCGTCATGTGCTGCGCCCGTTACAGCCAGCGGCAGCGCTCAATACTAGGTGTTCATACCACCACCCCGCGCGCGTAACGGCAGTGCCGCACCATGGTCAAAACAGGTTTGCTATCGCAGCCGTGCGCCTGTACATAGTTTATAAATAACCAGATAAGAAAATGATTATTATATTTGTGACAAATATTATTTAATTTGGTTCGGTTTTATATTTTCTATTCGTATCCGAATTTTATACTAATAAAAACTATACTTTTGTTCTTCAAGTAATACGGCGTATTGAAGCGGTTTACAACAAAACTACCTATTATAAAAATTGTAGAGGACAATTCTTTTAACAATCGTAAGAAATCCGTTTTTTGATATCGTATTCTAATCGTCCAATATCACATGGTAAACTAACACGGTTTTTAACTTTTTATCCATTAATTATTCAACTAATTAATAAAAATATCGAAAAACGGGCTTCTTACGATTGTAAAAAAATTCTTCTCTACATATTTTATAATAGGTAGTTTTGCTGTAAACCGATTCAATAAGCCGTATTACTTGAATTATCGAACTATTTGGGTATGATAAAAAAACTAATTATTACGATATCGGAATAATTAATAATAATATAAGAAAAAAGGTGGGCAAGTGGGTGTCGCTCTGCTGTACAGTCGGTTACAAGTGGGTTACTGTATAATGGATGATATTAAATTTGAATTCAACGATACAATATCATTGAATAAGAAAAACGATTCTGAGAGGAGACGGTATGTCAGTCTAGGTGTAAGACATAATTCAGTGGCGTACAAATGGGGAGGGGGGGATTTCGGGATAAATCCCTCCCCAAGGACAAAGAAAAATCCAATTTTTAAAATGTTAGAATAAAAAATAATATATACACGTCATGAAAATATCATCATGTGTATAAAATTAAATTTTTGTAAATTATGATGGAGTCACAAAAATATTAATTTTTCGTCTGAGGAGGTAAGGACTAAAGAATAAAGATATAAATAAATGCTTGCTATTCCCATACAAATTATTGTTGTGTAGATATTAAATATTGTTAATCATTATTATTAAATTGTAGCTGTCTGTGACCCGTTGCATGTGTGTGTGTGTGTCTATTTTTGTAATGGCCTGTAATTTCCCTTATCTCTTGTTTATTATTCATAATAGGTAATATACACGATTGTCGGATTGTCCAAAAGTCCGAGTTCAGTGTCGTAATCTAATCGTTCAGTGTACAAATCTATGGTTGTACTGTCGTGAACTCGTGACTTTTTTATTTATTTTCAAATACTATATCAAAATATTAAATCAATACAATCTGCAATAGTTATCTAAAAAGTAAAGGTAAGTCAATTTTATGATTTAATTTGTTTATAAGTTGTCTTTAATATTCTTAATGCATTTGGTATACACTAGTACATTTTTTATTGGTAAATTAGACTACATAATGCGACTAAGTGAATATACAAATACGTAAACGTTTAACAGTGTTCAAAATACTTATGCGTAAAATTGCTAAGGTGTATCAGTAATCTGAGTACTGGTATGCAAATACTTTTTTTCTTAATTTAAATGGTTAATAAGACATGAGTAAGTTTTATGGTTTTACCTTATTTCAACTATACAGATGGAACCTGTTTTATATTTTTAGTACCTATCTGTAGTTTATTTAATGTTTTTGTACATATTTTAATTTATAAATGCATATTATGTACTATATTGGCTAAAATTGACGTGTAACGTGTTCAAATTAAGATATTTATAATTCGATATAATGTTTATTAAAGACTCAAGTTAAATCAATAGACAATAATAATATTGGTTTTATGATTTTAACGAACTGGTGCTAATTTTATTAGCACTTATAGTCTCAATATATTATTATGTTTGCTCATTAATTTATAATACTATTAATACCTATATTTGATAATAAATTCAAATTACTATTGACGAGTGTCGATTTTAATTTTTTATTCAAAATAAATCCATTTACAAATGTAATTTTTTTCTGTAATAAATAATATTAAAAAGATAACTTTTAATTAAGAACAATAACAATTAATAAATTAATAACTATTTTATATATTTTTTAAGAATGTATTATATTTTGTTCTTGTAATAACTATCGTTTTTTATTAAATTATGATTTATTATTTTTATTTTTAAGACTCGGTAAATATAGTGGTTTTAGCTGAAAAAAACAACCCAAAACTAATTTTTTTTTTCAAAACCTATCCCGGGTACATCATCGCCACATCAGCTCTCTTCTTCAGATTCGCATTCACCAGATTTGCCATCAACAATTACATATTCTATACCATTATCCTCATCAGACCCGATAATCACAGAGCCAACTTTAAATGATACTAAAATCATTGATATTTTTGATATTACGTGTTATACAAACAAATTGTTGTCACAAAACGAAAAGGCAGATATTTTAAACAAAATATGGAAACCTGATTTAAATTATAATTTTCCTGTTAAAACATCAGTTGTTGGTAAGAAACAAAAAATTGTAAAATTAAAATTTCAATTTAAATGGTTTTTAAATTTCCCTTGGTTGGCGTATTCAAAAAGTGAGAACGGAGCATATTGCAAATATTGTGTCGCATTTGCTAAGAACGAATCAGGCGTTAATAATCAAAAATTGGGAGCATTGGTGTTAAAAAAGTATGATGATTGGAGGCATGCCTTAGAAGATTTGAAAAATCATTCAAATTTTGAATACCACAAAAAATGTTAATTAGATGCAGACCATTTTTTGAACATGTTAAAAAATCCAACTAAGTCAATTGATAAAATAATTGATACTGAAAAATCTAAACAAGTGTTGAAAAATCGAAAAAATATAATTCCGATAATTGAAGCCATTATCATATGTGGTCGTCAAAATCTAGCTCTAAGGGACACCGTGATTCTGGAAAGATTGATACAGACTCTTCAAACAATGAGGGTAACTTCAGAGAAATTTTACGTTACCGTGCCAAGGGTGATATTGAAATGCAAACTAATTTAGAAGGTCCTGGAAAAATGAAGTATATTAGTCACCGAAGCCAAAATGACATGATTGATGCTTGTAATAAGGTGTTATTAAATAAAGTGGTTTCTAAAGTCAATGTAGCGAAATGCTTTTCAATTCTAGCAGACGAAACTGCTGACATTTCAGGTATCGAGCAAGTATAATTATGCTTTAGATATATCGAACTGAACACATTGACTCTTACAGAAGAATTTTTACAATTGGTTCCAACATTTGATATGACAGGAAAGGGAATAGCCAATTTAATCTTAGAAAGTCTTAAACAATTTGGAGTTGATACAAAATATTTACGTGGACAAGGTTATGATGGGGCAGCAGCAATGTCAGGAAAATATAACGGTGTCCAAGCTCACATACAAGAAATATATCCAAATGCCATTTATGTGCATTGCTCTGCTCACTTATTAAATTTGGCAGTTTCCAAATCTTGCAGTGTACCAGAAATACGCGATTGTTTGGGAACAATAGGGCAAATTCGTGATTTTTTTATTTTTCCAAAAAGAAAGTTCATATTAACATCAAAAATCGAGAGCTCTTCATTATCACCAAAAAAAAAAACACTAAAAAGAAGCTGTGAGACTCGATGGATTGAGCGATATCATGCGGTTCACGACTTCTTAGAACTCTACGAATTTGTCTAAGAAGCGTTTGAAGATATATCAATGTGGAATGATTATGATACATCAGACAAGGCAAGACGTCTAAGAAGCTGTATATTAAATATAGAATTTATTTTGTGTTTGATAATTTTAAACAAAGGATTTGCTTTAGGTTTGGCCTTATCAAAGTGTCTTCAAACAACAAGTATTGACCTTAAAGAAGCCATGTCCTTAGCAAAAAACACAAAACAAGCACTAGAAGAGATCCGAGCAAATGCTGATACTTATTTTAGAGAAATGTTTGAACAAGTTAAATTAATGACTACACAATTTGATATTGAAATTAAGATTCCGAGGACAGCTAAACGACAGACCAACAGACTAAATTTGGCAAAGGAAACTCAAAAATTTACCGGAACTGGATAAATCAAAAAATGCGATCGATGCCTTTCTATGTGTAACATAGTTATGTTTCCAAATGTGTTCAAGCTTTTGCAAATATTAGCAACTCTTCCGGTGTCATCTGCTTCAAATGAAAGGTCATTTTCTGCCCTCAAGCGAATTAAAACTTACTTGAGAAACTCTACATCTGAGGTATATACATCTTTATATTAAAGAAGTACTAGCTCTCCAAGCGTCGTTGGGGGATACCCCCAGACCCCCAGGTGTCGGTAATGAGTGTTTTCGATTTCGGAAGCTGCAGTGGTCTGTTGGTCTGGTCGTCAGTCTCGAGCTGGTCGGTGTGTGATAAGGAACTCTGATAAGGTTAGGTCCACCGTGGTTCGACGTGGTAGCCCCCCGGTAAGCAACAACGT